TGAGCAAAGTAACAGGATATAAAAATCAATACCCATAAATCAAATGCATTTCTATACATCAGTGATGAATCCTCTGAAAGAGAATTAGGAAAACCATCCCATTCACAGTAGCCTCAAAAAAATAAATAAATAAATAAATAAAATACTTGGGAATCAACTTAACCAAAGAGGTGAAAGATCTCTGCAATGAAAACTTCAGAACACTAAAGAAAGAAATTGAAGAAAACTTTAGAAAATGGGACGATCTCCCATGCTTTTGAATAGGCAAAATTAATATGGTCAAAATGACCATACTACCCAAAGCACTATATAGATTCAATGTGATTCCAATTAAAACTCCATAATCATTTCTTTTAGAAATAGAAAAAATCAATCATGAAATTCATTTGGAAAAATAAGAGACCCAGAGTAGCTAAAGGAATCCCTAGTAAGAAGAGCAAAGCAAGAGGCATCACAATAACAGTCCTTAAATTAACCTACAAAGATATAGTAACAAAAATGGCATGGTACTGGCAACAAAATAGACATGTAGACCAATGGTACAGAATAGAAGACAAAGAGACAAACCCACATGAATACAGTTATCTCATACTAGTCAAAGGCACCAAAAACATACAATGGAGAAAAGATAGCCTCTTCAGCAAACGGTGCTGAAAGAACTAAAAATTCATATGCAGTAAAAATGAAAATAAATCCCTATCTCTCACCATGCACAAAACTCAACTCAAAGTGAATCAAGGACCTAGGTATTAGACCAGAGAACCCACACATAATAGAGAAAAATATAGGCCCAAATCTCCTCCTGCCTCAGCCTCCAGAGCTGCTGGAATTACAGGCATGTGGCACTGCACCAGGCTGAACCTGTGAGTTTTGAATCAATTAATTCAGGTGGGTACATCAGTGAATTTAGCTAAGTTATGGAAAGGTAACATATAACCATTCCCCCACATACCCAAACCTGCTAATTTCGGTGGTATACACGTTTCCCACTCATGCCACATGTCCATCACCTGTCAGCAGTAACTCTGCTTCATGTCATCTTCATTCTGGAACCTTGGCTAAAGGGGAAGCTCTGATCTGGAATATTGCCAGATTTTCATGTCATAAAGAGAAGAAAATGATGTAGAATCCTGCAAAAGTTCTTAGAGCTTCTACTCTGAAATGACACATGTCATTCCCACTTACATTTCTTTGGCCAAACTGGATGCCAGTGGAATAAATGAGGAGACAGMAAATATTCTGAACAACAAGATGACATTGGAACAGTGCGAGAGTGGTGAGAAGGTGGGGAACAGTGTAAGTCTGGGCATAAAGCCCTGGAATACAAATGAGTTGAATTTTATCTTCATTTCTGAGTATTAGTGTTTGCATTTATAAAATGAAACTAATGGCAGTCGAGGCTTTCAGCCTTCTCACAGATTTCTTGAAAGTTTCAAAAAAAAAAAAAGTATAAGATACCTGAGAGAAGTCTGGAAAATTCAGAGTATTCTGCAAGTAAAAGGTCTTATCATTTAATACTAATTGTAGCACTTTCTATACCTGGCAGACTGCAGGATGCATAAATTATGTTATCCTTCATTCACCGAAACGGCTTTTTTGCAACCTGGAAAAACAGTTTGTGAATCTCATCACTAGGACCCCTCTTGCTACATTTTCCTCAGACAGTACCTCTAATTTAAACTAATGTATCAAAAACTACTCAGGACCCATTCATTGAAAATGTTATCACAAAGGGGAAAAGCCTCAGCCTGCCAAGTTCATAAAACACTGAAATCCAACAAAAGCGGTTTTCAAAATGGGGAATGCGCCTGCTTGAGTCACAAGAGGCAGAATGAAACAACCTCCCGTGACTTGTATCATAGCTGACAAAAGCTCTTATTATCTTCTATTGATTGGCTAGGAGTTCCGATATCTTCTCTCTGGCAGACTCTACAATCTCTGCAGAGCAGGAGTCCTTAATACACCACAGCTCTGCTGCTACCTTAGGAAGTTAAGGAAATTGAAAGCGTTTTATGCTTCTTTATCCACTGAGAGCCTGAAGAGKCTTTTTAAGAGAGCCTGGACAATGTGTGTAATACTTTGTTTTAATTTGCAAACAAGTCTGGTTCGTGGTGGCTTTTATAATGTGGGTCATTTTTGCTCCATTTACTTGGGTTAAAAAACAACTTGCCTGAAGCAGTTCGTGAGTATCTAGCTCTCTCTAGGATAGGCTAAGACAATGGGCCTGCTTTCTGAGCATCTCCAGTACCAACTCTAAGCTTGTCATCAGATCACCCCAGAGGGCAGTTCTTAGGAGAAAACTAGGAAAATGGCCCAGGAACTAAATTTAACTAATAAAAGAGTGGGGTTTTGCCCTCCTAAGATCAAACCCCACTCTTTTCTATTGGCATATCCCTGTTTGCTTCAAACAGAGGAAAGAATCATTTGGTCTAAAGGAAGACAACCCACATTCCAGCTCCAGGGAATGAACACAATTGACCCAAACCAGCAGGAGGTATCTCCTTTCCTTACACCCAAACATTGGCCCAAGGGTGTATGGGTGGGGGTGCAAGGGGCAAGGATATTGCCCAGGTCTGAATAAGGTGGGAAATTTTCTGCATATGGTAGTGGTAGGGATGGAGGCATCTTCTGGAAGGATATGTGTGTGTGTGTGTGTGTGTGTGTGTGTGTGTGTGTGTGTGTAAAAAGACAAAATTTTACACAGATATTTTTAATTGCCACCCCTTCTTCCCTTCCTTATGTGGAGGAGGGGACCATGACTGGAGCTATGGCAGCCTCCCTGCAATCAGAGGAACATAAGCCAGAAGACCAAAGTTCAATATGCTGCAGATGGCAGACAAACTGAGGGAAAGCATCTACTGTAAATGTCAGTGTTAGATCTTCTTGGTTCTTTATGCCTCCCACCTAGATGTCTGCTCTACTCCTGGAGCTTGTTTCTTATACACTAGGAGGACTCCAACCTTTAGCCATTGCTCTTTAGGTGCTATCCCTCCCTCCATGAACAAGTTCCCTGGGACTTGTAGAGAGTCTCTGTGATAACAATGTAATGACTGAGGCCCAAGCACATTACTGTTACTTAAGGTTAACACCACAGTGCATGCTGGCCTGAGGCCAGGCTCATACACTGCAGGAGCATGTCCAAGAAAACGGTGATTCAGACCTAAAATCACTCAACACAATCAATAAAATAAGGTCTCATACAGAAAGGGCAAATTTAATATCACAGATGGCTTCTCTTGGCACTGAATCTAGGGACTAAAAAATGTTATCAGTGATACCAACAGCATTAGAACCAGTAGTTTTCTTCCATATTCTTCTAGGTCTCAATAGCTAAGGGGGACAGATTCTAATGGAAAACTTAAAGGTATGTTGGCAATTGGAATCAAATTATTTTGAGATTCCTGTTATGACTGTCCAGAAGCTAAGTCCATATATACTAGAAGGTAAGAGAGTAAGTTTTTTAGACCATTACCTTGGTTGTAGAGATTTTTTTTTTTCATGAAGAATGGTAAGGAGAATGTTCACCACTTACGTTTTTAAATTAAATTTCTGAAAATAGCATAATCCAAAAATATTTTAAAACAGATGTTAATATGAAGCATTGATATTAGTAATCCTCTTCTCAGAAATTAAAAAGTAACTACAATGATATTACAAGGTAGATGAAAGGTTTCATGACATAACGGCTCTTTTGTTCTACCAAGTGGCATGTCCTACTAAGCAAGTTCAAATCAATAAAATTAGCAAGAGGGAAAAGAAGGTTAAAAAAAAATGAGGGTGAAAACCCCACTAGCTAGAATATTGCAAAGTAGGAAGGTAGTGAAGAAAGAAGTTTTCCATGAGAAATGAAAAAAACACAGAGGCTGCCTACGAGGAACTTACCACTCTAAGTGATGCACTTCCTGAACAACTGAAGAAGTCTAGAGTCAAAGCCAAAAAGTTAAGCAAGGTTCAATAATGCAAAACAGCAGAATGAAAAGGAACTTGCCTTAGTGTCATCTATGAATATTGTCTTTCCCTTAACACTTGAACCATTTGAGACCCAAAGATCTTAACAGGAGATTGAGCAGATTTTGCAACATTCATTCAACTGAAAACATCTCCCCTCCTGATTAACAGATTACTATTGCTATTTTATTAGTGAAGGTAAAAGAAATGACTGAAATGGCAGGAACTGGGACAGAGAAGAGTCCAGTCATAACTTTGTCTATTAGACCTTCTCTAAATTGATAGCGGGGAGCTAGGAAGCATTTTAAGGATTGATAGGCTCAGGTACTGCAGCACCATGCTTACAGAAAGGGGTCAGGGCTAACCCCATGCCTCTGGCCTGCTAAAGGAATAAAAGTAGGCAATGCTCACCACCAGCAGAATACCATGCTGGGCTTGGGAAAAGAGGCTCATTCACATAAGGCAGAACAATTTTTTTTTCTGCCCTGTAGAGTAGATATGTGTGGTTCATGCCTGAGCCACAAATCCACTGTAGGGGCATCAGCTCATGTGTCAGAGTTATGAATCCTGTCACTGTGATTCTTGGTAAAGATTGGTAATTGGCAATATGTGAATGAGCCATTAAAAAAAAAAAAAAAAGAAAAGAAATCCCACTGAAAAAGCAATTCTGACCTTGACAAGTGAAGGTAACAGCTGGGTACGAGTTAAAGCCAAAAAAAAAAAAAAAGGTGTCCTTTGAAAAGAAAATCCACCACGTAAAATATAATCAAACTTGGAGATGACAGTATTCTCAAATAAGACTATAGAAAATAATGCATTTATGGTTGTTCTGGTGATTGGGACAAACAGTGGAAACAGGGATTTCACATAAACTTGTTACTTTTGGTTACTTGTAATGTTTTGCAACAACCTTCAAAGGTCTTGCTTTCTCATGGTAAACAGCTTGAATAAACCAGGAAAACAGACTACCTGGGGTAGTTGGTACAATTTCTTGTGGGAACACATTTCTCAGCCAGTTTCTCACAAGTGACTTCTTTAAATTCTTTACTTACCTTCACAGTAGGCAGAGTCTCCCTGGACAGAAATGTAACCATTCTTGCACTCACAAGTAGCTTTTGTATTCCAGTTTTTACACTCTGAGTTTTCACCACATTTAGGTGCTTCAGCACAAAAGTTATGACCTAGAAGATACAAATAAAATTTTACATCAGGAAGGGAGGGAATAAAAGACCTCCAAATAATAAAGCATGAAACTTTTTTATTATGTCATTATGCATGAAAACATACAATGGCAATAAACAAGGGTGAACAAGGTAGGGGGTTGGAGAAGAGAAATAGGAAACTTTAGTCTATCTCAAGCTAAAGAGATTTTGTTACTGTACTCAAATTTACTAAGGTTGTCACTACCTGAAGGATCTTACTCATGCTGATCCTGAATCCTCTTCCTATTATCATCTTACATGACTGGACTTTTTATAATTATTTCATTGAAAAAATTATGATATGTAGAAAAGGAAAGATAAAATATACAAATATATATAATTAATACAAGAAAATATTATCAGTATCTCTTAATTACATCTCTCCAATGAATCCTTCTTCCAGCCATCAGAGATGACTATCCTGAATTCTGGGTTAATCACTCCCTTACATATATTTATGATTTCATCATGTATAGGTACAATTTATCAAGCAAATATAACTTAGTTTTGCCCATTTCAAAGTTCATATAAATGAAATCATACTGTACACATCTTGTAAGTTGTGGGGTTTTTTTTCTATTCACACTTACTAATGTTAACATTCATCAATGCTGGATGATATACCAGATTCTTTTAGCCACAGGTTTGACATTTTCTTTTTCTCAACATTTCTGCCTGAATCCCTGCCATGCCTTCCAGGATAATTATTTTTCTTCCTAAAACATACTTTAGAAACTTCTTTACCAAGGATATGTCTAAGCATATCTACATACCATCCTCATACTTATAGCTTTACTGGCTAGACAGTTACTCTGTCTCAATACTTTGAAAACATCATTCCATTGTTATGATTTCTATTACTGCTTTAGAGTAGTCAGTTGTTAATCTAACAGTCATTCCTTCCATGAAGCAACCTCTTTCTCTGTAGATACTTTCCAAGATCTGCTTGTCTGGTTGGTTGCTTGATTTTGTTATATACACTTTAGTTTTACACTGAGGTTCATGAATTTATTATTGGTATTTCTTGGGATTCCTAAATCTTAAGACTGGTGAAATCTTTCACCATTTTGAAAGACTCTCAAGTATGCTCTTCAAACATTCTCCCTTCACAATTTCTCTATTCTAACTGGATAAATGTTTTTCCTTCTTGAGCTCTCCTTCATGTAACTTACATTTGTTTTTTTCATATAATCTGTTTCTCTTTACTTTTGATGCTAAATTCTGTATGCCTTCTGGATGTGTCTTTTAAGATGTCTCTCTAGAGTTCTATCACATTCTGTTTCAGTCACTCATATAATTTTTTTATTTCACTTATTTTTATTTTCTAGAATTACAACTGCTTCTTTTTTGATCTCTTTGTCAAATTTGACAGTCCCTCATTCTTTCATCTTTTTTTTTTATTTCTTCAAACACATTACACTTGCATGTTCTATATTAACAGTTTCAATATCTTCAGTCTTGCACATCTAATTTTGCAGTTGGTAGTTTGTGCTGAGTATCACACATGATGGTTAATTTTCTTGTGTTTTGAGTTGATTCTTTTATTTGCAAGCTCATATTCTTTGAAATTTAATCTATGGGAATTATTTGAAGTTTTGGTTTTAAAATTGCATTTCTTCAGAGAATTTGTGTTTGCTTCTGTCAGTTGCTTAAGGGAATCATCAATCCAAAAATCACTTTAAACTACAATTTTGCCTTGGGGATGAGAACTGAGCCACACAGATAGAATAAATTCGAGCCCAAAGCTTTCAGGAATGCAAACTTTTATCCTCTAGACCGTAATCTAGAGTCAAGACTGATAAACTTTCCTTTTTCACTGTGGATTTCTCCTAGTTCACCCATTGAGAGATTCACCATTCAAGGTTCTTATTTAAAGCATATCAACTAGCACCAAACTATCTCCCACATTCCTACACAGTGTCCATTAAAAGCCATAGCCCAAACCACTGAGGCATAGAAATTGCTCTCAGGGAAAATGCCAACTTTCCTGTACTTGCTTATTTCAATGATATCACACTTTTCCAATATTTCAGGTCTCTGATTTTCCCCCTTCCTCTTCTGCTATCTCCATCAGAATTTTTTAATGTGCATATATTATACAGCATTTGGGGTATACTAAGAATTAATTGTACCTACCACAAAATTGTAAAGTTCAAATATGTTAAGATATATGAAGGTACTTTGTCATCTTTAAATCAGTATATTTTAGGGAATGATAATTACTATGCAATGAAACTACATGTTGTGGTCTCATAGAAAATACTAGATTTAGGATCTGATGCATAATCCAGAGTCTGCAGTTAGCAAACACTATAAATCACTTTGCCTATCTAGGTGTRTATACCAAGAATGGATGCTATCAGTGATTTCCAAAGTATGTTTCTCAGAGTCCTGGGCACAGATAAACTGTGACATAGGGTTCAAGTTACCCACCCCTGATTCGAATACTTATACTTTTATATTTTTGACATATGGATCTTGGAAATGACAATTGATGGCTTAAAAATATGGAAAACAACTAGATAAAGTCTAAATTTAATTCCTTTTTGATGAAATTCTAGGAGATTTTTTTCTCTGAAATAAAATTTTAATCCAAAAATAATTAGGCTGTGCTTGATCTAGAGGATGATAATAATAGTTATTAAATAGTAATAATAATAAAATTTATGTATCTATAATATGCCTGGCACTATACTATGTATTTTAAATGAGGACAAAAGCATTATACACCTTATTAATATGCTGTTCAAAAAGTTAAGTAGACTGATCCATGTAAAGCACTTAGAACAGTTACTGATACATACTACAAAAGTCAATAAAAGGTACCTACCATGATGATCATGTTGATGTTAACAATGATTAAAGCTCAAAATAATAATGCTGTTATCCTCAACTTCAAGATAAGAGAAATTTAAACTCACCAACACTTATCTAGTAAGTGGAGATGCCCATATACTTTCCATTATGTTATATACCCTTCTGACAGTAAAACTGGCAATAGTAAATGAAAGACGCAGCCATTCCTTGAGATAATAGAGTAAATGTGTAGCCCTAGTGAGCATGCTATTATATCCAGCCTCACTACCTATGGCCTGTGTACTGGTGATTATCCAAGTCAAGAGTACAGCAAGAGTGTAACTTGTTGGAAATTTGAAACCTCTGATAGCTGAGAACACTTCTACATGAACTTGAAAGGCTTACAGTAACTGTTACAACTAAAATAATTTGATGTTTTGCTCCCAAAGGGCAATTTTAAGCATCACAGCTCTCTTAGCCAGACTACCTGCCTGTATTTTACTTCTCATCTTAGAATTGATCAATAATTAAGTTGTCATATTTTTCTTCATTGTGAAGTTGTAACCAACATCATATGTTCATCTTTTATCACAGTTATTCTTTGTCTATATTTCTTTTCTCTCCCTTTCCTTCTTACCTGCATTTGATAGCCTGGAACAAAATCCCTCAAACACTGTTGTCAACATACATCAAAACATTATATTATACCCCATAAACAGATGAGGGGAAAGAATATATTTTTCAATTCAAAATAAAATTTAGAAAATAAACAAATTTGTGGTAAAAAAAATTATTTCAACATCTATCAAGAATTTTCCATGTCAACTCACAATGCAAGGAGTTGGAAAATTTTTATTTCTAGGATAGTGAAGGGTCAATGAGACAAAACAAACTTATCATCAAATCCACTTTATGTGACTATCATGTCAAAAATATGTTTAATTAATGTAGGCCTTCATTGAAGCAGTATTTATTCAGTCTCACTTGTCTTTTTGTACCACTGAGTAATCATTTACTCAATATTTATAGGACATTTACTATGTGGGTAAACATCTTGGCACAGTGCAAAGGTATTTAGAATATGCTCTGTCCACAGGGAAATTACAAACTTTAAAGAAAGATAAACCACATACAGGAGTAGCATCATCATAAGGCAATCTACATTAAGTGAGATGCAAGGAGTACAAATTGTCACAGCATCTCAGGGAAGGAGAAATCTTTTCTAGATGATGCAAAAACTATAGTAGGCAGAAACATGGAAGTAGCAGGACACAGACCCTTGTGGGAGGAAACAGAATTTCAACCCTTGAGGAAGGGGAAGTTTGGAAAATCTTAAATAACCTGACACAGGTATTACAACAATAATTAACATTTCTTGAGCATGTACTATGAGTTAGGCAATCAGTTAAGTGCTTTCCATATGGTAGTCATTTAATTATATTAACAATTTTATAAAATTCAGTTATTATACCTGTTTTACAAATGTGGCGATTTGAAGTTCAAAGAAGTGAGTGCACTTGTGGAAGTTACCATAACACAGGTCTGATTGAAGCCAGAGCCCATTATCACTGAGCTGCTATTCCACTGTCTTTCCAAGAAAAACAGATTTCTATACATTCTATCCAAAGGATAAAGAGGATATACTTTCTGCATGCATATATTCAAACAGACTATAATTTACACTTTCAAACACACACACACACACACACACACACACACACACACACACAATTATGGCTTGGGTATGAGGTGTCTCCCCAGGAGCTCACTTTAAGCAATGTAGGAATGTTAATGCTCAGAGATGAAATTATTTCCTTATGAGACCTGTAATCTAATTCATTTGATCAATTAATAAATAATTTGAATGGTCTAACTGGGTGGTAACTGGAGGCAGGTGGGAGGCATGCATTCCTTTGGAGTTTATTTTTTGTCCCTTGCTTCTCAATCATCTCCTTCCTCCACTCCCTTTCTCACTGTCTTGCCCTTTCTCAATCTGCTCCCCAGTTGCCATGAGCTGAGATGCTTTCCTCCTCTACACCCTTCCATCATGATGTTCTTCCTCACCCCGGGCTCAGAGTGATAGAGTTGGATAACCATGGACTGAACCTCTGACACCATGAACTCAAAACAAATCTTTCCTCCTCTAAGTTATTCTTGCCAGGTATTTTGGTCAAAGCAACACA